GCAAACTACAAGTTTTCTATTAGAGAAGTGTTTCCGAATGTCAGCCAAGTTTGAAAACTACTGGCCTATAGCAGTGCTGTCCAGTAGAATGGTAATGTAAGGAAGCCACATGTGCAATTTAAAATTTTAAACCAACCATATTTTACAATGTTAAAAAAATGAAGTTAACTTTAATAACATAATTTCAGTTAATTTTCCAAAATAATATTGTAATTTCAAATGTAGTCAAAAAGTATTATTGAGAAATTTTACATCCTATTTTTATACTGTCTTCAAAATCCTGTACACATTTTGTACTTATATCTCAATTCAAATGCCAAATTTTCATCAGAAATACCTGATCTGTATTTATATTTCATAAAACTTACATTTTAAAAAATTGATTTATTAGTTGTCCCAAACACATTTAAAAGTTTTCTGATAACTGAATTAAGTATCAGGAGTTTTTTTTTTTTTAATTTAAATTTAAATTAATTAAAATTAAATAAAATTTAAAACCCAGTTCTGGGATAGCACAAGCCACTTTCAAATGCTCAGTAGCCGCATGTGGCTCGTGGCTTCTACGGTGAACGGTGCAGGCCTAACAATGGCAAATCATATGATAACTGGACATCCCGGAATCTGTAATGGTGGCAGGCCACCGGCATACATAGCTCCTTAAAAAACTAAATGTGGGTAAAATCAAAAGTATAGGTTCAACTCTCTTTTGATTTCATAAGGTTATTAAAATCTAAGAAAAATCGAAACCTATTTAGAGGTTTTGAAACTAAGAATTTCAAAGATTTTATTTGAAACAAAGATCTGACCACCACCAGTGAATAAAACTGCAGGCATGTGTCCCAAATATTCAGATATACAATGTTCTACTTACGGCAGAATTTAGTGCAAATATTAATGAGTGTTAAGAGAGGTTGAGCTGACAGGAATTTTTTCAAATACATGTGGAAAGAATAATAAAGTGCTAAAAGCACAAAGTATTGGAACTAAAATGAGAATAGCATAAAGAAAACTAGAAACAAAACTACACATCAAAATCAGAAACAAAATCTTTGATCTAGACATAAGAAAATAGGTTAAAGTAGGTGAATATAACTGCTTTAAGTAGTAATATGGAAGCTGGTAGAATCACTGGGGAAACTGGATGCTAAGTATTTTAAAAGTGAAATGGGAGAATGAAAAACAAAGACTTATTTAAGAGTTAATTGTAAAATCATAGTAGATTCATGGCAATTTCCAAACTATTTTAAGCTGAATAGTTGGTAAAATGGGCAACTTTAGTGGAAATTAGTCATTTAACCTGAAGCACAAAATCAGAACAATGATGGGAGTGTGTGTGTGTGTGTGTGCATGTGTGTGTGTGTGTGTGTGTGTGAGAGAGAGATTCAGAATTAGATGTAACAACTAAATTTCCCCAAGGTTAGTTTTTGTGACAAATGGAGTTAAAAAGATTAAATGTCAACTTCTAAGTCACTGGCTTCTTACATAAATAATTTCAGTAACTCCTGCATGATGGCAATATAAGCAGTAACTACCACTCAAATGGTTCCCAAATCAGACTGTGTGGTGATTTCAGTGTGCAAGGAGATTTGAAAAACCTGTCTATTTTTTCAGCGGTTTAGAAATATCTAAACCTTACTACTAAAGCAAGGCTACATCTCCATTTTGAAAATGTACTATTTAAACCTATTATTAAAATTATAAATATATATAATTATATCTGTACTAAAATGAATGGAACCATGATTCAAAAGGACCATCACCAATGGAAACATTTTAACACCTTTCTAATTCATCTTATCTATCAAACATTCCTGCACTCTGTTTAATGTTTTAGGACCCAAGGTAAGTTTTGGTTCAGTGGTTATCCCAAGCTCCCCTGGCATCCTCTGCAGCGGGTAGACTTTACTGTTTTTCCTTCAATTGGAGGCTGAATGGCTTTCCTATGAGCTTTCACAGAATTCCATGCTTCTCTCCATTGTTTGTTTATTCCTCTCTTACTGGACTTAGTGGAAATGGGAATGGACTTGAGAAACGAAACTTACTGGACTATGTGTGCTTGAAAACACTTATATTATTTATTTTTGGATCCTCAGCACCTAATATAATACCTAGATCATAAGGAGATACTCAGAGGATGGATGAATGAATGAATGAATTACATACATACATACATACATACATGAAGTCATTAACAGAAAATCAAATATAAATTTTCACATCTGGATTTCTATAACCTAAAAAAAATGATAGCAATAGGACAGACAAAATTAATAATTAATATAATTACTATGTCTCTTTAAATATTTTGATAAAACACAGTATTTATTATCAAGTATGTACCATGGTTTTAAAAACCAGAACTCTAAGGAAAAAAACTGTAAAATATGATCAACATAAATATATTGTAGTGAGAATTATGCTATAATATTAAAAGTTTCCAACTGTTTTCCAAGAGTCTGAAGCAGTAATGTGACTATATTTCAATAAAGCTATAGTTTAATCTTTTCCAGGGAAATATTTTTAATAGGATTACTGACCCTTTTAACACTGTAGGAAGAAAATGAATCTCACAAGCACTCTGGCGTATAACTACTATAAAATTAAATAGAACAGTCAATCAGTGGAAATGGGAATGGACTTGAGAAACGAAACTTACTAAAGCAATGTGCATAAGCATGCATGGTGATGACCACGCTAACTTAACAGAGATTCTGCTACATAGCAAAATGCGCAAACATGCTAAGACAAATGAAAGGCTGGAAAGAAGGAGAAAACTTTGAAGAAAAAGCTTTCATGTTTTCCTTAAAAAAGAACGAACTATATTCACTTTGATCAGTTCTGCTATCACTAAACTCTCATGCCCGTCCCTACATCCTGTTTGGTTTTTCAAAAGATGTTTAAATGTTTCGGGGGATAAAAGACACTTACTGACTTAAGACACATTTTTGCACTCACAGCTCTTTGTACTCTAAGGGGAATTTTTTTTCCAGTTCATTAGTTTATAATGTGAACTGGCACCTAAGGATATTTTGAAAGGGGGGAAAAAACACTCGTGAGCTTGGAGATGCAGTTTATGTGATTCGCGTCATCATTTATTTCAGCTCAATTTGGGGCCCAAAACTAAATTCAAAATGAAGTTACCACACTCATGTAACAGTTTGTTTCAGTATGCAATGATCATACAGAAATCTCAAAAGAAAACAGACTCCCTTATCCCAAAAACTATTATATTCTCCTTAAAATATCCAAGTCCTTGCAAGTTCTTCCTCTCCATAGCACAAAAATAAACTCAGCTTTACAAATAATGCACAAAATAATATGAATTATCAAAATGCCATTGGCATTACAAAATGCATAAATTCTGCTGGTTCTACCCTCATTTCCACACACACGCCCAGCACCAGCCACTGCATACTGGCTGGCACGTTTGAGTAAATACGCAATTAAACAATTAGTCTCAAACATCTTCCCAAACCCAAATCCATAGACTAAGGTGTCTTGGCCATTATCATGATTAATTTGATCCACAGGTCATGTCAAAATACATCATTCATAGCCCTAAAGTTAATTGGAGATTTCCTAAATTCTCCATTTCCCTGATGTATAAGCAAAACCAGAGTCCAAGTTTTTAAGCATAAACAAAACAGATATGGATATTCCACCTATTTTGCACAAAAAACAAACACATTAGAATCACTTTTCCTTTTATTCATTATAACTATCCTTCTTTTAAATTATTTAAGGACATGTGAATCATGACTTAAAATCATGAAGTCTAATATCTTGAGAGTGTCAGGACCTCAAAGATTACAAAACACCCAGTCCTCAATCTTGGGCACACGTTAGAATCACAGAGGAGCTTTTACAGACTATTGATTTCTAGCCCCAGCTAAGATTCAGCATGACCCTTGGTATCCATGTGCTCTAAAAGTTCCTCTGATGAGTCCAATGTGCAGCTAAGTGGAGAACCAATAGTCTCACAAATGTGGATCAGTGACCCAGAAAGGACCAAGGCTGAGATCAAGACCAAGCCAACGGTGACCTGAAGTGAATTTACAATGTAGATCACAAACTCAAATGCCTGCAGGAAGCACTTAAGGGAATGAAGCAGACAATGCATACACACACTTTTAGGCTGCGTATGTGCCAAAAAGCATGACAAACTAGGGCGCTCACAGGGCAAGAGGCTCCCAAGCTCTAGCTGACACTGCCTTCAGGGAAGTGGCAGGTAACGGGTCTTCTACCTCATCAGAAAAAACACAGATCGAGATTTTTATGTACAGTTTCCCAAATTTTTAATGTTGGCTCAATTTTTTTAAAAAAATGGAAACAATACTGTAGGTAGCAAACAAAACATAATGAAACGCACAACGTGGGTTTAGCCTTGAGGCTTCAGTTGATCACTTCTGGTGTAAAAGGCCGTTTCCACCCTGCATTTCACTAAGTGTCCATGCCGCCACCACCTCGTTTTCACTAAGTACTTATATGTTAGCCACTGTGCTGTTTCACACAGGTTATCTCAACTCACCTTCACCAACCTCTGAAGTTCTATTACTAGGCCTCCTCCCCTCAAGAAGCACCCCCTCCCCCCAGGTCACAGAACCAGAAAGAAGTGATGCCCAGATACAAATGTGTGCAGTGCAACTCTATAGCCTATAGCATATGCTCTATTTCTAAAAGTCTCAAATTTGTTTTCAAAAACCTCCACTGTTTGTACCTGTCTCTTCAAAGATAAATGAAGGGCTTATACTGACTGATTTCTCAGGCCCTTTTTAGTTTTCAAATATAATAGTTCTGACTCTGTAATACAATTTTTGTCTGCATTAAAATGTTGGTATTTACATGTATCAGTTGTGAATGCCCTGATTAGAATACCCTGATCAAAGCAATAGAATGAATGAATGCTCATTAAATAGTCTTTCTGAAAAGGCAGAAAAACATTACATTATAATAAAATTCTTTATCTCTACCACTGTAGAAAGTTTACTTTTCCATTTTACCTTTTGAAAGATGAGTAAAAGTGCTCAGAAATTCGTCATATGTTTGCTCATGACAATTAACAAACTTATCCAAGACTTCTTCAATTATTTGATCTTCATCCATGATCTCCAATTCTGATACTTGGGCAGGCATTCCTATTCACGAGGCCGCTTTATCTGTGAAACAAAGAAAAACATGAGCTAGGGAGAGGCCCCAAAAGGAGAGCTCAGGATAGTTACTCCAGGAATAAGCTCTAGTTCAAGAGACCAGAGTTTATTCCTATCTTGGCTTCTGAAGTGCTATTGCAATTTTATTTTTGCTTCAGTTTCCTCATTTCCATCTTCTTAATTCATATATTTTTATCTTTGTGTCCCAAATGTTTAACAGCTCAGGGAAGGGCACAGAGCTGCCAGTCAATCAATATCAAGCTAAAATTACACACAGTCTCTGACTTATGATGGTTTGACTTGGGATTTTTCGACTTTACCGATAGTGTGAAAGCAACCGTACTTCAGATTTTGAATTTTGGTCTTTTCCTGGGCTAACAATATGCAGTATCTCTCGTGATGCTGGCCAGTGACAAGCGACTGCAGCTCCCGGTGAGACACTCCATTATGACAGTAAACAACTGACATGCAGGGGTGCCCAAACTTTGGGTGTCTCTGAGCCACACTGGAAGAAGAAGGGTTGTCTTGGGCCACACATTAAATACGCCATGACACATAATCACAAAAAGACTCATAATGTTTTAAGTAAACTTACAATTTTGTGTTGAGCTGCATTCACAGCCATCCTGGGCTGCGTGGGGCCCGCGGGCCACAGATTGGACACCTCTGATAATATTAAATGCATTTTAAACTTACAATACTTTCAACTTAGGATGGGTTTATCTGGATGTAACCCTATCATAAATCAAGGAGCATCTGTCCTCATTTGAGTAGGTGCTATAGTCCCATATTGCTAGAAACTGGCAAAACACTCAAACTTGCCCAGTTCCTTTACCTCTGCCTTACATGACATGGCTTCGAGTCCTGTCACCCTCCTGATCAATCTGCCTGGACAAGGTTTCACACTGCCTACATTCCTTTAATATAGGCCACCCAGAAATGAGACCAAGACTCCAGACGAATGCAGGGAGAGGTGACGAACGCTCACATTGTAAACACTGCGCTCCGGCTGCAGACCCGAAGGTCGCCCTCGCACTGCCGGCGGCCCCTTCACGGTGTCGCCGCACTTACCGCACAGCTAACTAAATGCCTGTCGGCTAGGGCGCCATGCCTCAGTCCTTGCACAGTCTGAACTTTGTTTTTAGTCATGACATTTCACCTTGTTAAATTCCATTCATTGTGTACAAAATGTCAGTCTTACATAGCTTTGAAAAAAGTGCCTATCGACAGAAAGAAGGGGACCAATTACTGCCTAAGTAGCTAGTGTAATTCGCGGGGGACAGGAAAAAGGAAGGGTTCCCCAGTACTGTGGGGCAGACAGAGAAAGCATCCAGATTCTTATATGTTTCTAAAGTAAGAGTAAAAACATGTTATCTGTTATTAATTGTATTTATTTGGTATTTACCAAAAAGCTCAGGAAAAAAGAAATGTTTCCATATAAGATGATACCCAGCCTCATGCAGTGGCAAGACCCAATCTGAATTAACATGAAAGTACTTACGGCTTTTATTTATTTCACTCAGAGTAACTATTCACGTATTTCCCTCCATAAATACTAATTAGCTTGCTTTTGCGATGCTTGCCCAGTCCCCACTGCAGATTTTGTGTAATATGTGGCATTTGCCCTGATTACCTTTCTGAACTCCAAGAAATTCTGAATTCTGAAATACATCTGACCCCAAGGGTTTTAAAATAAGGGATTGTGAAGCCCTATGTGCCTGGCAGGATCGTTACGAGGATTATATGAGTATACACGGCACCTCAGGAAATGGCAGCCATGATGGTTTTGGTGGTGACCGTGTAGCAGTCTCAGTATTCTATCTTTCGCCCACACAAAGACCTGTTTTGACTGTCGCTCCTTGGACTTTGAAGGCACTGCCGTTACCTCCGACAAATCAAGATAATCCCTCATGCATTACACCCCTAGGGGAAACATGGTGTCGTAAAAGACCAGGTGAAAGTAAAATGTGTAGCTCTGTACCTACTCACAATGAAAGAGACTGTCTCAAACTATTTGTACCTATGAATTAGATATAGGGAAAAGCATGAGTTAAGGTTTATGCAAATTTGCTTGAAACACTGCCAACCTTCAGCAATCCAAAGTTAAGTCAGTGATGCTTGAAGCTGCTAGAAAAAAATAATGATAAATAAAGTCAAAGGTGGCTGATCTTTCACTATCTGTAAGACATGTACTTAATTCCAAGAATGCCAATGTCAACCTGATTTTCCAGAATTGGACCCCAACAGAATTCTGACACTGTCTTAGATTAATCTCTTCCTCGGACCATCTTGGGTAACCTACTTCAGTTAGCAAATACCACACAGAAGCAGTCGCTTGTGTTTTGTATTGCTGTAAATGTTTCCTTTAAGAGTGATAATAGAAATTCTTTTAAACTTCTTTTCCGATTCTCAAATCGGAGTATTTTGAGTATTTAGCCTTGACACATGTCAGATTTACTGAAGGCAAATAATTAACAGACTGTGCACAGCACAAATTCAGAATCCTTCAAGACCTTTCATTTTATTCAGGTGATTATCACAATACAGATGAGGTTATGTTTTCGTTGACTTTTTTAAGACTTTTGGAAAATCCAGTTTCACAGACTGTCATTATCTGAAGCATTTAACAAACACCCACCTTCAAATTTAGAACTCTCCCTATCTATAAAAATACAAATAACCTAATGCTAAAAGTCCCCAGGGTCTGACAGAGCAGATAATCATTTACCAGACAGCCAAGTGGTTTATGCAAATCCTAGCGGTTTTCTAAAAGGAAGCAATGTTTTTTCAGTTACTATTCATATGTGTTTGTGTTTTTATCTAAAAGAAAGGAAAAGAGAGAGAGAGAGAGAGACACTTGCTTGGATAATAAGATTCTTTGTTTTGGTTTGGTTTTTATGTTTTTAGGCATAAAGCTCCACATGAAAGACCCAGAACATATTATGATGATAAGTAAATGTGTATAAATATCTACTGGTACATCATAAGAAGCATTTTCACAATCAGAGCCTGCAGTAGGAAACCCAGGGAGGATGCATTGCTGTGCTTGGACAACTAAACATCACACGAAAACCACAGGCTTGGTTAGGAGCGGGGTTCTCTTCTCTTTGAGTCACTGAGAGATACCAAGGGAATCACATTACCTTCCTGGAGTCCCCTTTTTTACAGCCACCGAAGCCACTTAGTGCTGTGTGCTCTCAGAAAGGATCACATCATGAATTATCACTATTGTTTTAGCGCACCTTTGATATTTATCGTCAGATCCCTGCTTAATGCGACATTCCTAAACAAAAGGCAGCTTCCACAGACAGGAGTGTTAGCCTTAAGAGAGGAGACGCCCCGAGCTAGTCTTCTCTCAATAGGCAAAACCTGCCTTCTGACGGCAGAGACTTGTATGCCCACAGAAAGGTTTAAAAAATAAACTGGGAAGTGCACCACTGACACTTAAAAATAATAAATAGCACATTTTTAAGGAGTCATGGGGGGTTATCAAAACCCACTTTCTCAAATTTTCGTAACTCTGCTCAACAAAAATCTGCTGTGCTAAAAGGTAAGTGGGATATTAGCAAAATAATTCTCCTTGCCTCAGGAAACAAAACCATCAGCCATGGTACTTCACAGGATGGGTCTCTTCTTATAGTTTGGAAAATGGGAAAATCTCAAAAAGACCAAGTGGCAATGTAAGTGTACTGATTTATTTATATGATAGAAGAGACATGGTGTGAACTGATTTCTTCTTCCTTGACTTAACTACACCTATTTTGCATCCTCTAATTTTTCTATGTCTTTTAGATCACTTTAAGAAGAGAGAGAGAGACGTGTGACAGAAATTGCCACAGATTCTCAGAGCTGAGAGAAACCTAAAGGTCACCTAGTCCAATCACAGAAATAATGAATCTGGGAAAACTGAGGTGGGATTTTTGTCATCTAATGACTCTGTTGATGAGGAATATTGTGTGACCTTCATATCACACATAGTAATGACATGCCCATGATTACATATTGTAAGGCATCTAAGAAGTCAGCAGGAAACTAAGCAAAAGCAGTAATCTCGCCCTGGATGGGGGTACCTATGCCTCCCACTGCATTCTGCACCCCAGCTATGTTGTTGTTTCAGATACTTACCAATACAAACAAGAAAACAAAGGAAAAGATACAAGGAATAAAGAGGAAGACATAAATACGAATCTTACAAAATAGAAAAGCACTTCAGCTCCTTTATCATTTTTTTATAAGGATGAGATTAAACACACACACACACACACAATTCTAACATCAAAGAATACACTGCACTTCAAGTCATAAGCTTCTCCCAACAAACTATTCTAACACTTAAAAGCCATGGAATTCTTAATTATCACCAAAACTGTTGATGGCATAAACATCTCTACTGCTACACCACTTCTCCGAGGTACACGCTGCGGTGCACAGTAAAGGGAGCATTTGGAGGGAGGGAGGGAGGGCGGGCTTGGGATTAGAGCTGACTGCAGAGCTTTCAGAAAGAGCAGCTGTGGCATCATCCCTGCAGAGGTCTCAGTGGTAGGCATGTCTTAGCTTTACTCTTTTTTTTTTTTTTTTTGACAAAATCTCATTGTAAGGAAAAGAGAAGACACCCATTCTAAAAACTGCAGGTAATAAAAAATGTGGGCTCGCTACCTGCTTACCATGAACATGGATATCACGAAGTCTGCCTTAACAGAAACAGATCTACTTTCCTTTCCTAAGGAAGGTTATAGTCTTCATATTCAATATAGAACATCATTTTTGTAACAGGAATGACTATGATGACCTATTTCATGATTAGCAATATGGAGTGGAATGAAAGCATTCCAAATAAAGGATATAATAGGAACAAGAAGAAGAAAAAAAGTCAAGGTAAAATGGTGGATTTTATAAAAAGAACAGGAAAAATATACAGGAAATCTTTAGGACATGGGAGTAGGCCTAAAGTTCTCAGACTTGATGCCAAAAGCGTGATCCATAAGAGGAAAAACTGATCAATCAAACCT